CTATCAGCCGGTGATCCCTCTTGGAGAAACTAGGTAGCCACTCTGAAGCTCCTTTTTTTTTTAAATCTGTGAAGTGGTTACAATTATACTCATTTTACAGGGTAAATTTTAGGAGCATTACAAAGAAGTTCTCAAGCTTCCTCAAGTCTCTGGAATCCAGATAGGCAGCAAGTGGTTAAACAGATGGAGAAAGCTGGAGGATGTTGGAAAATTCTTCCAGAAATCATTAGGAAAGAGGATGAGACTCATCTCTTCCAACCTTGAAAAATAGCAAAAGCCATTCCCTGGCTGTTCTTGGGACCCCCGTCTGCCTGCCTTGTTGTTTGAGAAGGCTAGTCACTGCAGCAGAGTCAGTAAATACATTATCTAGGATGATTTATTGCAGATAAAAGGAAAAAAAAAAAGAGAAACTGAAAATAAAAATATTGGCACTCATGAAATAGGTCAATCAGTTATCCTCTAAACAGACGAAGAACCTCCTTCCACATTACAATCCCAGAGCCCATGGCCCCAGTCTAGGTATGTAGTTGAATCCTGGAGGGACCAAGAGATACATTTCTACGCTCAAGAAGCTCATATTCTAGGGGCACCTGGGTGGCTCAGTGGGTTAAGCCTCTGCCTTCAGCTCAGGTCATGATCTCAGGGTCCTGGGATCGAGCCCCGTATCCCTGCTGAGCAGGGAGCCTGCTTCCTCCTCTCTCTCTGCCTGCTTCTCTGCCTCCTTGTGATCTCTGTCTGTTTTTTTTTTAAAAAAAAAAAAAAGAAGAAGAAGAAGCAGCTCATATTCTAGACAAAGGTAGGGGTATTCATTACAGAAGAGAAAGAAGATCAAAGATTAAATTATATGCCCTAAGCAGATACTTAGGTGTCCAAGAACCTCAGCTCCTTGGAGGGCTGGCTCCAACCCACCTCTGCCGCTGTCTGGACCACCGTCCAGCCAGTTCCCCTTACCGTCGCTTCAGTTGGCCCAGCTCTGAAGCGATGCCATCGCCTATCTTTCCCCGCGGGGACAGGGACAGGCCCCTCCCTCGGGAGGCCAGCGGCGGGAAGGCAGAGCCTTCTCACTTCCAGGAGCCCCTGGGGCTCACACTCCTTCTTTTGCCATAATGTGTTAACCCAGGTAAACCCCAAGGATTTGGACCCCAAATATGCCTACATCCAGGTGACCTATGTCACGCCGTTCTTTGAAGAAAAGGAAATAGAGGACCGGAAGACGGACTTCGAGATGCACCACAACATCAACCGCTTCGTCTTCGAGACGCCGTTCACGCTGTCGGGCAAGAAGCACGGCGGCGTGGAGGAGCAGTGCAAGCGGCGCACGGTCCTCACCAGTAAGTGCCGCCGCGCGGGGCTCTCGGGTTTGCTGACAAGGACCCGGGACGCGCTAAACGAGACGTGTGTGCCGGGAAGCGCCTCTTTCCCCTCCTTGGGAAAGTCGACAAGGAGAGAAATTCTCAGTAGAGCTACTTAATGCACCTCTTCCGTTTAGACGTTCCAGCCGTCAAGGTCATGGTGTGCGCATCCCCGGAGAGGCGCTGGGAACTTCCCCCTGCCCTCTCCCTGAGCATGCCCCCAGGGATTTCAGGGTTAGCAGCTCTCCGAAGTGTGTGCCTTGGGACCAAATTCCAAACCACTCTGGAATTCAGGCTTCTCATTTGTAAACGGAAGGCAAGGGATGACCTCCCCCGTTCCTCTCAGCACCCTCTAGATCTAGTCTATGAGTTAGTCATCCTTTTACCTATTCGGTAAACATGCCATGAGGGCCTGCGAGGGGCTGGACACTCTCTGGGAATTTAAATAAATGAACCCCGAGTCTTGCCCTCAATGTGTCCACGGTCTGGTAGGAGAAAACCAAGTAAAGCAAGAAATCCAGCGAGCATGGCCTGAGAAAGAAAAAGGGAAGGCACAGGTAATCCCCCTGGGCGGGGGGCGGTCTCCTAGGGCAGTCCAAAGAGAAAGCTGAGCAAAGGTGTTCTGGAGGAATCTTGAGAGATGAGCAGTCCTGGAGTACGCAATAGATACAATAGCAGTGTCCCAAATTATAGGAAACCTTCATCTTCGGTAAACTTTTCCAGAACTTTTATCATCAAAAAATGAGAACAAAACTATCATACTATATACTACTGAGTACACATTTAAGCATTCTTTAGGGTGGTTTAATATAGTTTTTATTTGAATTAGAAGCTGGGGGGGGGGGGGACAGTACTGTTTCAAGACTCTAAAAGCCTAAACCCAGCCGACAGATGAGTAGTTGTTGGCTAGCCAAGTGTAGAAAAGCAAGCCAGGTGACAGCCGCTGGGCCCCAAGCTGAGATGTGAGACACCACAGTACACTGGAGGAAAAATAACTCACATACACAGAAACCATGCAGAGTGGAAGATGCTGTATGCAAAAAAAAAAAAAAAAAAAATTTCGTCTGGACCTCCCGGTGCCACCCCGGACTCACCTCAACCTTTACCTTCTCTTGCATGTCTTTTGTGCAGCGAGTCACTTGTTCCCATATGTGAAGAAGAGAATACAAGTCGTAAGCCAGTCGAGCACAGAACTGAATCCTATTGAAGTGGCGATTGATGAGATGTCCAAGAAGGTTTCTGAGCTTAACCAGCTTTGCACGATGGACGACGTAGACATGATCCGACTGCAGCTCAAAGTCCAAGGAAGCGTCAGCGTGAAGGTAGGCGCTCTCAGAGCGGAGAAGCGCTTGTTATAACGTGAAGCCTGGTATAAAACACCCTAGAAATTCTTTACAAAAGGGCTAAGAGAGACTTTTTTCTGTGTGATACCATCCAGCAACTTTATCTGAGTCTTTCAAATTTTGTTTTGCTGTAAGTACACATGGATGATGCTAAACACCAGGAGATAAACCTTTTTTTTTTTTTTTTTAATTTTAGCCTAAATAAGATTTCTTCATCCTCAATCCTCCTTTCCCATCTTCTCTGGATAAACTATGTTCTATATTCTAAAATCTAACCAATGAATTAATTAATGAATAATAAATGTGGCTTTCTCATAAGTATCTAAGTAAAAGCCTTATGAAAGTGTACCAAAACAAAATTCTTAAAAGTGTATTAGCTCATAAGATGTGTGTTAGTATTTATCTGACTGTCAGATGCCTGAGAAGCAGCAGATGGCCTGCTCACAGTGGGGGATTAAAGAATATATAACAAGCAGACTGTTTGCAAAAGCATAAGCAGTATTTAGGAAAATCAGCAAGGTGGGCGCAGGTCCTAGCTAGAACGTTATCCCCTAGATTCTGAAGACAAGGGGAGAGAAGAGTAAATGGGAGCAGAGAGAGAGCTGGGAGAGCCAGCTGGTGAGACAAACAGAGCTGCCTCTGCTAGACAGAAGACCACAAGGAGGAAACCCTGGGTCCAAAAACACCCTGACCAGCTGGGACTAGGGAGAGACAAGCAAGGCACTCACCTTGGGCACAGAATTTAAATAGGCATCAAAACACTCAGTACCCACCATAAAATAATATGAATGCAGGTTTTTTAAAATAAAAAATGTCAAAAATTTATAATGAACCAAGTATTCACATTGTAAATAAAGGCAGGCCAGTAAGCATGCCCTGTGCAACTACGATGGAGCCCAAGGCAAAATCAGGAATACAGATCCTGATGATCTGCTCTCCTCTTCTGCACCTACCTCTCTTCTGTGTCCCCCATGGCTGACTCAAAATAGCAATAACAATATATCTTTTAAAGCCAGAAAGCAGAAGACCCATTGCTATACTCCAAACGGAACAGCTTCCCTCAGCACATAGGTGTGTCGAGGAAAGTGAGCATTGGATCTGGAGAAACAAAGGAGGGTATCCATAACGTTTACTCATTCTACCATGCAGGCAATCCCTCCCCCATAAGGGCCTTTGAAGACAACTCTAATACAGTGTTAGCTTCCTTCTTCTGCGACGGTATTCCTTCCAAGCCCTACAGTCACAGCAAAAGGCTACAAACACTAAAGAATATGGACTCCTTCACAAGTATGAGCCTACTCATGTGTGTGCGCGTGAACGGGACCTGGCATTGTGCATTCACTCAGCAAATCTAATAAATGCTTCCTCCAGCCAGTATCTAGGCCAGACTGTCAAGTGGAATACAGTCAAACAGCGTTTCCTAGGATGGCACATACACCACCACCATGGAATGTCGCTTGTTATTAGTTCAGTGTTTACTGTAATGTGAACAGAAAAAAAATAAATAAATAAGTAGCACATCAAACATTTGATTTCACAGATGTTAAAATCAAATGGATTTAAAGTAAGGAAAAATGAGTCGCGTTTTCAAAGATAGTGAGAAAATAACGGTGCAAGCCGAGTGCAGATATGACAAAAATGGGAAATGATGGGCAAGTGACAGTTTGCGAAGGGTGGTCATGGAGTACAGCACTCAGATTCGTCCTTCAGGAACTTAACTACTGAGTTAGAGGACAGCAGATGAGACAGGTAGCTCATCATTAGGTCACCAGGCTCTGTGAGAGGATTGGGGTGCTGCGTGATTGGTTCTACTCCTTCCAGCGGTGGAGAAGGCCCCATCCAAGGAAGAGATGGGATGGTCCTCAGCCAATTCTCTTCTCCCCAACAGGTTAATGCTGGGCCTATGGCCTATGCACGAGCTTTCCTTGAAGAAACCAATGCAAAGAGATACCCTGACAACCAAGTAAAACTTTTGAAGGAAATCTTCAGGTAAGTTTTTCTGTGTTGGAATGTACCTCCTCCAGGTAGCAGAGTCTCTCAGCAGCTTGACTCGGAGCTGCCACTTTCTACGGCTAATTGGTCATTTGCTTTTCGCTGTCACTAAAGGCAATTTGCAGATGCATGTGGGCAAGCCCTTGATGTGAACGAGCGGCTCATCAAGGAGGACCAGCTGGAGTACCAGGAAGAATTGAGGTCCCATTATAAGGACATGCTTAGTGAACTCTCCGCAATCATGAACGAGCAGGTAAGACTTGGCTTGAGATGGCCCAAGCTGCCACGTGATAGAAACTGTCCATTCTGTCCCTAGTGCCAGGACTGTAAATGTCCCTTTTCTTACATGAACAGCATGAGCACAGAGGTTCTCACTCCTCCATGTCTAAGATCTTTGCCTCTCAAAGCAGAGATCAGGTTAGGGGAGAAAAAATCTATAGGGGGAAAAAAGAAGATGAGAACCCAAGTAATTTCCAAAGTTTCAGGTATGTTTATCCAAACTCTATGCAAAGTTGGCTTTCTAAAATAGATGGAATCTTTTAGACACCAAGGAACACAGGATGACATTCCACTAGGTTTGCTGCCACTCCTGTCACCCCAATGTACACCTCTGCAACGCCCAAGTTGTGAGGTGGAGTTCTACAGTTCTGCCACCAGGGGTCTCTGCACCATACTCGAGAAGAACCCTAGGTCTAAGGTCAAGGCTTTGTAAGGTCCAGACTGCACCTACAGAGGCTGGGAATTCCTGAAGATGTGCAGAATTGGGTAAAATTTAATCCTCTGCCCCACCAGCAGGTCATCCACGCATCTAGCATGGTCCATAAGGGTGTGCACAAAATCTGGATATTCATTAATCACAATACTTTTCGAGGCGCAGAAATCAAATGGAAAAGCCAAGGGCCACTCTTTGACTTTCCAGCATCCATCAACTCCCACACCTGGACATCCCGACCTGGACATCTTACTATTCACGGTCTTCTCCAGGAATCTGATGTGCTCTTTACAGAATAACTGAGCAGGAGAATTTGAATAATCTCCTAACAGTGCCTCATGCACAGCAGCCACTCATTAAAAATTAGTTCCCCTTCTTTTCTTTAAATGGCCTGGCACTATCAACACTATTCACAAAGCATGAAATGTATCTCATGCATGTTTTCTTCCCATTGCGTTTCTCATTGTTTCTTTTGTCTTCTTTTCCGTCTCCTTTTACCCACATTTTAAACTCTCCAAAGTAGCTAGGGGAAGAAATTGGTTAATTGATTTATGTTGGAGATCATTAATCTCCCTGGATAGGATTTCTCAATGACGGATTATTGTTAGTGGTTTGGGATTATGAAGGGGCGATGGGAATTAAAAATTCAAGAGAGATGCCTCAGTGGCATGGGGGCAATCATAGATCTGAGAGTGAAACAAAAGAACGAGCAGTGGACCTTAAAGCTGGAAAAGGTGGTGAAGAAATGTTTGTTTCCAACTATAAATTACATCTGACCTTGAAACTTCGGGCAAAAAATACTTTTCTCTTTTTTTTCCTGGCAGCTCTGTCGCGGTCCGTGTCTGTACAGCTTCTGTTCCTCTGTGTCTAGTATTTCCCTCAGTACTATAAGCAAAAGTGGTATGTTTTTCTTTCCTTATGTCTACACTGTCCTTTGTGGCCTTCTGGTCTGCCTATCTCTTCCTAGTTGTTCGTATTCCCCCAGACACCTCCACGGTGGCTAGTGTTCTCTGAGTGTTTATTTAATTAGAACAATTTTATTTCCATTTCGAGATAGACTGATATTTAAAAAAAAAAAAAAAAAGCTTGCTGATTAAAGTTAAAAGCTTATCTTTTATGTATTTTTTTTAAGTAGGCTCCATGCCCAACATGGGGCTTTAACTCACAACCTTGTGATTGAGAGTTCCATGCTCTTCCAACTGAGCCAATGAGACATCCCAACAACTTAGCTTTTAAAAAGAAAATTCATACTCAGCCAATTTGTAAAATATATTTGAGGTCAATTGTATCTGAAACAAAGATTCAGTATACCTCAAATTGCAATAACAACAAAAAACAAAAACAACAACAACAAAAATCTTCTGCATAAATATAAGAACCAGCTGATTAAGAGGAGAGAAAAATAATTCTTTTATAGGATACCTTTACTAAAAGAAGCAAAGTTTAAGTTTGTGCTTCCTGGAAGTTGACTCAAAGAAAAGAAATGGATGGATTGCACAGATCTTATTATTCAGTAAAAGAAACAGATCTGTTGGCAGGAAAGATAAACTTTCCCCTGGTCCTGGGGATTTGTCACATTGGTATTTATATACGGGACAATGACAACAACGTATGTTACCTTCAAAAAAAGTTTTCCTTAAAAATGATTTACTCTTTTATATGGGTTTTCCATATTTCCACCTTAGATTAAAATGAGGACAAAGTATTAACTTCTAACTCTGTAAAAGAGATTCTAGAAGAGAAACTAGTTAATAATCATCAATCGTAAGTATAAATTATCCATAGCAAAACTATAAGATATCTAAGTGAAATTAGCTATTTTCATGACAATCATCAATAACTGTTATTCATTGGTTGTAATGAACAATTTCCTAAAATCAGAAAGAGCTAGCCAATGATTAAGATCTATAAAGTCCCTAGTATTTAAAAAAATGGGTGTTGTCTCAGTTCAGATTTATAACAACAACAAAAAAAATTGTTTACTTCTTTTCTCAGTTTTTTTTAATGAAAAAGCATCTGGTGGTAATCATTGAATTCAAACTCTAGTGGAGGGAAGGGTTGTCTAATATTAGCATGATCTTGTAATGCATGAATTCATTCACATACCTTTATACTTATGACATGTTCTGGAAGAAAATTACATATATAGTTACAGTGAAGAGAGAAATTCTTCCCTTGAACTTTTAAAAATAGAAATTGTGTTAGAATAGATAGACATAGAAAGAAAGAAAAGTAGCAATGGCATTAATTATGCAGTTGACTCCAAGAGTGCCCAGAAAAGTCCTAGCTAAGAGGGTATCCTGAAGCCACCTACTTAGTAAAAGAAACTTCAGTATACGGAAGGAGATGGACTAGGATAAAGCGGATGCTAGCGTGTAAAATGGAGATATTGGGATGAAGCAGTTCGGGTTGCTAAAGTGACAGGCAGACAACAACTACCTTAATAGGCAGCCAGAATGCCACACTATTTTATAAGTAGCCAAAAAACATAAAACCTCCTTTGATGGAAGCCAAAGTGATACATGTAAGTAACTGGAAGAAACATAAATATAAGACGCTCATTTGGAGTCTGTTTCAGCACTGACGGTGATAACATTGTGAAATCAATGGCAGTAATGAATCTCAAATATAAAATACAGAGAAAGGAACAGGTCCACTCTGTTATGGTGCCAAGAAGGCAAGAGGCAAAGGCATGTTGCTCCGGGAGTGTCAGATACTCTAAGGACACTTTATTTCCCAAATTATTTAAGCAGAACTTGTGGCATCGATCATAAGGAGGATTTATGGGCAGTCTAGGATACCCAGATGCTTCGTGCTCTGTGCAGGTTGAAGTGTTAACCTGTCTTGGAGGGTTAAAGAGGGTTAAAGCTAAACCATAGTAATATATCAACTAAGTGGAAAAATCTTTTGAAATATCCATTAAGTCTCTCCCTTACAGAGATACATTTTAGAGGTGCCTACGGTTTCTACTGTTGTTATCATATTTACATATCATTATTCGCACAGATTTGACAGGAAGTTATTACTTAGGTATGTTAATATTATTTTCAAAGTAAAATCAAGGCAAGGTGTATTTTTTTCTTATATTTACATTAATGCAAACATTTAAATGAGCTTTCGGGTGTTTCCCCTTTTTGGTATTTTGACAGTATAAATTGTAAACTTTTAGAATAAAATGAAATTCTGGAAGTACTCAGATACAATCATAAAGTCATTATTTATAAATTTATCTCTGATAGTCAAAGAGTATTGTGAAGCTATTTTAAATCTTGCCAAAATGCTTCTGACATGGGCTTGCAAAAACTTCCAGAACTATTCTGATAAGCTCATTTTCAACAACTCACAGCGGTCCTTATGGGGGTGGGGGAGAAGCACTGTTCCGGGTTTTAATTTTGTGCTTGCCAATATTAACACAAACCTATTTTCCTTTTGATTTGCCGTGTTGCATTTCATCCTATCAAGATTACATACAGGGACGACCCGTCAAAGCGCGGAGCGGAGCGAACCTGCCCTTTGGTAATTAGCAGGGCGGCCCCGGCTGTGCCCACCGTCTCCATCTCAGCCAGTGAGGAAGCTTGAGTGGAGGTCTGCTGCATCAGACGCACCTCTAAGGGAACCCTCTGAATTTGCAGCTCATCTCGGGGAAGAGAGAGATCTAATTTATTTGAAGTTTTTATAGTGTTAATAATTTTTTTTTTTTTTTACCTCGCTAGCTTGAAAATTTTGCCCGCCTCCGGTTTTGCACATTTCTTATGATTTGTTTGTTTTTTTTTTCCTTGAGCAATGTTGATCAAGTCAAGCTGAACATTTGCCATGAAATTGCAATGAATGTGTAGCTCAAAAGCAAACCCTAAGTTTGCTGTCAGTTATAATGTGTTCAATACCACGCCCTAGTACATATATTTTAAAGGTCAAAGTGATTGTTTTTGTAACATTTAAGCACATTTCAAATGTAAATAGAAGATTGTAAGATATATGGTTTTTACCAAATTTAAAAGAACCTTTTTAGTTAATACTTATGACAATGCTAAAATTGTATGAATAACATTTCAGATACCATTATATTAAAATATTTGTGTATGTGTACAAAAGTGTTGATAAATACTAACCTTTAAAGTTTGTGGAGTTCCTTTATTTGTAATATATGTGCTCTTAAAAGCAATGGGATGTGAAATTATGTAAGTATTTTGTTGTTAATAGAAATAAAAAATACAGTTACTTTGCATTTGGTTCCCTCTTGAAGAGTGGGTGAGTTCCTACTAAAAGTGGTTCATCGGACTGGATATCTGCTGAACGCAATCCCATATTCACTACATAGGGTGCCTCCTTAAGAGGTTAGGGAAGGGACTCCACACTCAGCCAGGCTGTTACTCCAAAGATCAAATCGACATGCCAGAGGTTTCCAAATCTACATTAATAGGATGACTGGGGAAGATAGAATGAATCAGAATCTTGAGGGCTGTGGTATTTAATAGGGCTCTTCACAAATATTCCATATAAACTTGCGGTGGGATTGCATGTTCCTGCCTCTTTTGAAGTTAGACTTGGCCATGTCACTTGCTTTTTGAAATGTAAGCAGAAGTAACATGTGTCATTTTCAGGCAGATACTTAGAAGCCAGTAAGTGGTTCTGCCCAATCCCCTCACCGAAGCACTCACATGGAAATGAGGCCTCTATCCACCTGAGTCCCCAAGTGACCACAACGAGCATACACACACACAC